ATAATATAAACCCTATTTAATTCCTTATATTAAATAGGGGAATTTGTCGGCCAATACATTGGTTTCGCAGACCAAACGGATGTCATAACTTTCTTTAGTTTATTTGATCGAGCCTGACTCTCAATTCTTGTGTTCATCCTTCGGGATAGATACAGGATTTGAGATAAAGTGTTCTTTCATCTAAACTATGAAAATTATGGGGTCAATTTGACTTCATCTTTTTCAAAATTAAAATTTAAAAAAAAATTAAAAAAGAAAAACGTCCTTCTGAAGCCGGCAACGGGATTTCAATTCTGATGACCGACAGCTTCTTACGGGCAAACCCTACACCAAAAATAGTGCCAACAATGTTAAAATTGCTTTCTTGCATGGTGATTTGCAGGAGCGGATTTACATGGAACACCCAGAAGGGTTCACTCAACCTGGATAGGAGCTTCTGGTTTGCAGATTAAAGAAATCACTATATGGGTTGAACAATCTCCAAGACAATTGTACAAGTGGTTTGACTCCTACATGATTCAGATTGGCTATAAGAGACGTGAGTATGATTTTTGTGTTTATGTAAAGAGCCTTGATGATCGTTCAATTATTTTCTGTTACTGTATGTTGATGATATACTGATTGCTGCAAAGAGTATGAATGATGTCCATGGTTTGAAAGCTTTATTTAGCCAGAAATTTGACATGAAAGACTTGGGTCCTACAAAGAAGATTCTTGGAATGGAGATTCATCCAGACAGAGGCTCAAGAAGATTATGTTTATCTCAATGAGGCTATGTTGAGAAAGTGTTGGACAAGTTTGAGATGAGAAAAACAAAGCCTGTAAGCACTCCTTTGACAAATCATGTTAAGCTTTCTTCATATAAGTGTCGTAAGACAGATATAAAAATTGAAGACATGGCAAAGGTTCCATATGCCAGTGCAGTTGGCTGCTTAATGTATGCAATGGTATGTACTCATCCTGATTTGGCTCATGTTGTTAGTCACGTCTGCAAATACATGGCTAAACCTAAAAAGCGACATTGGGAAGCAGTCAAGTGAATTTTTAGGTATCTAAAGGGTACTGTAGGATATGGAATTATGTTTGGCAGTCAGCAGAATGATCCTTCAGTTGTGGGGTTTGTTGGTTCAAACTATGTAGGTGATTTGAATGATAGAAGGTTTACAACTGGATATGTGTTTACTCTTGGTGAAGGGCCTATATGTTGGCCTATATGTTGGAAATAGTCTATTATGACATTATCTACAACTGAAGCTGAGTACATGACAGTAGCTGAAGCTGCAAAAGAAGCCTTATGGCTTGCTGGGCTAATAAAGGAACTGACGTTGAGCAAGGTGGAGTTCAGTTGCATTGTCACAGTCAAAGTGCTATTTATCTGGCTAAGAACCAGGTGTACCATTCGAGAACCAAGCAATATGATGTCATGTATCATAAGATTAGAGAATTGTTTGCTTCTGATGAGATACTGTTGCAGAAGGTTCATATTGATAAAAATGTAGCTGATATGTTGACCAAGCCAGTTACTATCAACAAGTTCTTGCATTGCTTGGACTTGTTGAATGTTTGTAGTTGCTAGAGAAGCATGGTGGTCCAACCCACTTCTGGTATGTAAGAAACTTCATGATGTATTTCTCCTAAGGGGCTGGATATTCGCTAAGGTGGAGATTTGTTAGGTATGACTCATATACCATATAAGGGATAGATGCTGGAGCGGAGTGGAGCGGATGATTCTGTCCAAATCAGGGGAGTTTCCTTATGTGGGTTAGGGGTGAGATACAGTGGTAATTTGATAATTACATATTATACTTCAGGGTTTTATTGGGTTATAAATATGCATGTATGTAACTCTAGGTGTTATCTCATATTTTGTATCATGTACTTTTTTTCTGGATTAGTGGAAAAACCACCGTTTTTGCTCCTGAGGACGTAGGCATCTTTGCCAAACCTTGTTAAATTTTTGTGTTCTTCTGGATTTATGCCGATTTATGTTTTTCTTCGCCCTAATTTCTGAACAAGTTGTTATTTCTAGCTCAATGTGTTTCCCAATAGCCTTTCGAGGAAATAATGTTACGTCCAGACTATTGAATGTCTACACAATGACAAGTATCACACCATATCTCTTGAAAAGCGATGTGATGTGCTTCACATCGTCATCCAGATATCCAGACAATACGTAATATTTTCTTCCGTTTTATTCGGTGTCTTTTTTTCTCAATAAACCTATCTCCATGAAAGTATTAGGTTAAGATATTATCATCAAAATCTGATTTAAATGTGTTTTCCATCTATTTGAATTATTTTTAGATGAATACATTATAAAAAATTTATTAATTAATTATGCATTATTATCACCTTAAAATAAATTCAATGAATAGAATGCCCAGTGAAAGCGAATTTAAATCAGGATATCATGTCTTAATTAAAATTTCTTGGTTGTCATATTAAGCAACAAAATAAACAGTAATTCTAATATTTCAACGGCAAAGCTAAAGTAGCACCCATACTCATGTATCAAATATTATTGTAGCCAGAAAATCCATTAAAAAAAAAAAAAAAAAACAAATTGTTACAAAGCAAGTACAAAATAATAATGTCGCTTTTACTTGCACATTCAAAATTTTCATATCACATATAAAACATCACTAATGTAATTCTAAAAAGATGAGATATACCTGTTCATGCATAAAAAGGTGGGGATAGATATAAATACCTAAGAATTGCGTGGTTTGTATGTATATTTTCCAGTAATCTAACTTCTAATCGTTTTAAATCTATGAACGAATGAATAAATGTGCTTCCTTTGCGGATCTAACAAACATGCTTTTGCAACTAAAAAATTTACAAAATGTGTAACATTTCTTAACGACGAGTGAATTTCAGAAACATAATTCAATAATTCGACAATATCCAAAGCAAAAAAAGGAAATAAAATTTAATTAACGAAGAAAGATAATCCTTACAAGTATGTTTTTCCATCTATATTTTCTTCGCCACTTTTCTCCCAAAATGAAGAGAATTAGAATGGAGAAGGGAGAGAAATGAGAAAAGAAGCCGTGGAAAGAAGAAATCCTTCGCTCTCCAAATATTCCCTTCTCATTTTATTATTCTTGTTTTTTTACAGATTTTCTTTTATCGTACTACTTTTTCTTTGACAGCTTTATCTATTTTTAGAGATTTACTTATTTGTATTAAAATTCTACGTGAGGTTGGGAAAGGTTGATGAGCCTGGACCGCTCAATCCATGGATGGATTCAAAATAAGGGGGAAGATTTACCTATGCGCCACAGAACTCCTATGTATTTACAGATTTGTCCTCTAAATTTTAATTTTTATAACTTTGCCATTTTACCTAGAGGCAAAACTTTTTAGGGTGTCAAATGTCTACTTTTCTTTAAATATTGGTGCAAAATTATAAAATGAACAAAATTACATAAGTAAAAAATATTAATATTATTATTTATATAGAAAAATTAAAAATTACAAGGTAATTGCCCATCATGAATATATCTAGATTCCTCCTCTAGCTATACTTAAAAATGGGTACATATATAGCGCCTGCAACATTACTATTTATAAATTTTAGCACTCTTATATTATTTTTGAAGTATCAAATTAATATATTTACGCGTGTCATGATCAATTCATTGATAATTTGATAAAAATGAAAAAAAATTGAATTGGGGTATTATCATAAATTTGATATTTGAGTAAGAATTTGAGCCCGTGCTATGTAGGTAAATACCCCTTTTTTTAATTAGAAATAGAAATATTTTTTGATGTGATACGAAAAAAATTTGATTCTGTAATTGTAAATATTAAATTTTAAATGTTTAGAGAAATAAGAGAATTTATAGTTCTATTAGTAAGGTTTTCAAAATTTTCAATTTATAATACATTTAGAATGTAAAGCAGAGCATACAATTTATTTACTAGCATATCTTAATGCTAAACATATGTACCCCTCTAAAATTTTCACTTATATTGAGGGATAGAACTAGGGAGGGTTCGGGGCAGGGGCAATCGTCCCCATAGAATTTTATTACTCTTTATTATTATTTCATACAATAAAAATTTTACCCTTCTTTGAAATCAAATGTTTAATAAATATATATTATCATAAAATTTATAATTATCTCATTAAATTTAAAACCCTAACTGAGCTCCTATTGCATCTTTCATCGATTTGTTTCTTCCCCTTGCCCACAGACACGCCTGGAATAGATCTCCACACCAATGACAGCGACTCCCCTACCGGGGACGGTGACTGGAAGTCTGGAACACTGGCAACGAGAAAGAAAAACTGGAAGTCTAGAACTCAACCTCCTAGCAGTGACTGGAAGTTTAGTTTGTTAAACTCAGGTAAGATTTTGAATAGATTTCTTTTGAAGCATAAATATACTTACAGTTGCAAATGGAATACTCTAAATACTAAAATTTATAGTTGACGTAATCTTTGCAGTAGAAAAAGAATAGCCAAAATTGCTAGTTGATTGAATCAACATTACAATTTCTAAAAGAGGGTTGATAATGCTTGAAACTTTGGGATAACCACAAAAACAAAACATAAAATTTATCACATAAGAAAACGAAAACTTCATAACAATGAAAACAAGCCAATTTAAAATAAAAGAATATAATAAGGAAGTCTTGACCAAATGAACCAAAAACGGATAGGTAGAATTCTTAAACAAAAAAAGGGTATTGAATCAGTGATGATGAAATTATGGAATATGAAAAATAAAGTAATATAGTTTTTGCTATATCATGTTGGAATTAATCATTGTTACTTTGTTAGTGCGTAGTAGTTACTTCATTCATCTTCAAATAATTACATTATGAGAAAGTCATGTGAATTTGAGAACATAGTGTGTAAGGTAAGAATGTATCTTGATAATTAATTCACAAAAGCTTTAACAATTTTAATGTTTTTTTTATATATATAATGATGGCCATTCTTTGACTGAGATAATTTCAAGTACTTGAACTTATTAAATTATAGTAGGGGCATTTACATACATACCACCCAATTTATTTGTGATTACTTATCTAACGCGTAAAATTTACTATTTATGTAAGCCCAAATGTCAATTTTTTCCCTCCAATTTATGTAAATAATTAAAGAATTTCATAGCAACTAAGAGAATTAAACAGTGGTTTGAGATTAATGATCTATTTCTCTTCTATTTAGCATTATTTTTAAATGAAAAAAGTGATATTTTTTTCCTTATAAGGATATTTAAATAACGAGTATATTGTATCTTGAAGTACTTAGTTTTCATGTTTTTATGTTGAATAAAAAATAGATTTATTTTTCAAAAAAAGTAAATAAAAAATAATTAAAATTCTACATTTGGGCCATCTTCCATTGAACATGTCTCTCAATTATAGAATAATCAAGTTGATGATGAAGCTCCTAAATATTATCACTGTCCAACAAAATTTCATTGAATTGAAACAAAAGCATTTGATATCACATCTTTGCAGTGTTATCCTAATAATCGAAGCTCTATTTGTAATTATGCTCCCATAACAGAGATAAGGTTTGAATGACATGTAGGATATACTTAATTATATTGATAGACATGGTCATCATTGTATCCCATTGTGATATAGTTCATTTCCAGTCATTTCCAGATTGGCTAAATGCTAAATTTTTTTTTTTTTTTTGAAAATAAATTGTGCATATTGTCTTCTATGTTTTCTTTTTGCAAAGATATAAGATCGTCTTAAATCTAATTCTTCTACAATTGATGGATTTCGAGTTTAGAAGAAAGAAAATAGTTGTAATAAATACATATTCATAATGCATATATGTAAAGATCCAAATTTGACACATAAACAAGTTATGAAAATTATCATGTTATGATGACTTAATTACAACATATTGATAACGATTTTGAAAAACAATCTTCATCGGGGGTTTTAAGAAATCAACTTCAACTCAAAGATACTTTTGATGTATTAAGTGGCCTGTTCATTTCAAGGTCGTGCTTTAAGAGGTCATGATGCAAATCAATAATCAAATAATCGGGGTAATTTTAATGGATTGATTAAGTTATTAACTTTTTATTGTAAGATGTAGAAATTGTGGGGATAAAAAATGCTTCCAAAAATGCTTTATATACATCTCCTAAAAATCAAAAAAAGATTTTATCTTATTTTCATGCAAGATTCAATAAGTTATACTAGAAAAGATTGGTCATGTAAGATATTGCATTCTAGTTGATGATATTTGAGATGAATTAAAATGTAATAAATGGCAATTGTATTAAGATTTGTTAAAAAAGATGGATTTATTAACGAGAGATCCTTTGATATTATTCACTTTGAAAAAAAAAATGAAAAATGTATAATAAATAAAATTTGTCATAATTTCTCTAATCTTGATATTCATGATATTTCGGGTCAAGGAGACGATGGTGCAAGTAATATGAGTGATGAATAGAATGGGTTCCAAGCTTTGTTAACCAAGGACAATTTTTTCATTGTTTGGCACTTAAAACTTATAATGAATGTTGATCTCATTTTTTAGGTCTTCTCATTCCTCTTTCTAGAGCCTAGGATCTAGCCTTAGGATTTCCCATTTGACTATATTAAAGGACTAGTACTGTCACCCACACCATTTAGAAATTTAAGTCATGTCTTGACTACTTGCAGTCTCATATGGGTGGTTTCAAATCCTCAGCGTTAAGTTGAGTCTATTAAAACCAACATATTGAAACTAAAATCGAGTACCCGTAGGAATTGGAAAAGCCATAAGAAGACCCCACGACGTACGATGAGCGACTCTTTGTCAAGAACGGTCTATTTGACTTTGGTTGCTCCTTAGGCGAGGATTGTTCAGCATTTTGCTCGCTAACAACTTCGTTTGAGCCAGATAATATAAATCATCACACCACACGCAATGCTAACTCAAATTGACCCGATCGTCAATGGACTTGCCCAGCCAGCCCCGAATAGCGAAACAGACTACGTGAGTGCATTTGGAAGATTGATTTTACCTAAGAAGGGCACCTATATTACTAGGGTTTGGTGCACACGTCGAAAGTGCATGAACCAAAATTTTTAGTGATAATTTTAATAATAATAATCATAATATAAAAAATATAAAAAAACTAAAATCAAAACTCACACACACGGCGTGTCCGACCCCCATTCACCAGATTCTTCTACGAGTGAACCCTAGCATCGAGCTCCTCTCCCATCCGATGCTCTGATTTACTCGAAGTTTCTCTTCCACGTGAGGGAGAGTTGACCACCCATTTTTTGTGCTCGACACCTCTGCCTAGGGCTGTCAAAACGGCTCGATGTTCGTGAATTGCTCATGTTCGACTCGTTAAGAAGCTCGGGTTTGGCTCGTTCGCTAAGTTAATGAGCCGAAGACGAACAACACGAACAAAGATTTGTTCATTCGTGTTTGACTCGTTTTGGATCGAAATACTACTAATCAATAATATATATATATGAGTAGTATTTTTAAAAAATTAAATTAACTACAAAACTACAAAGATTTATAATCAAATAAAGTATTAATCAAGAAAATAGAATTAAAATTATTAAATTAGATTCAAATAATGTTTTAATATAAACAATAATTTTTAAATCTTGCCCCAATCCTTAACATCTTATGGCTACGTGATTATAGTTGTCAAAACAACTCTTTGTTTATGAACGACTTTAAATCTTGCCCCAATCATTAACATCTGATGGCTACATGATTAGGGTTGCAAAATGACTCTTTGTTCATGAACGGCTCGTGTTCGGCTCACTATGCAAACGAGCCGAGTCGAACACGAACGCACTTTTTTAGCTCAAAATCCTCAAAATATAAATGAACGGAACACCAGCCCAGCACCCGTGTTCCACTAGTTTACAGCCTTAGCTCTGCTTAGGACCTGTTTGGTTCGGCTTCTGCTGCGCGGCGCGGCATGCGACAGCGGCTTT